TGTCACAGATGGTTAGTTGAACGTCATAGAGCTTAAGAAGTGTCAGACAATTGTTTTTTTTTATTCTCAAGCTATTGAACGGGGCTTTAAGTAAACTTTTTAGTCGATCTCATTAAGTACTAACAAATTGGATAGATATGAAAACTTAAATATCGACCTCCTATTTAAATATAAAATTTCTTAAATGCTATAAATTCCAAAAAAAAAACATAAGAACCTTTAAAATATTCAGTTTTTGAATACGCTCAAAACAAGAAAATCAAATAAACTTTTTTTTAAATCAGAGTATTGGCCGCTACAATGTGTAAGGGATTTCATGGGAGACTCCCCTGTTTCTTTTATTTTCTTATTTTTTGATTGATTTTAAAAGCTCATTATTATAATCTTTTTCATATTTCTTTTATACAAATAAAATAATACAAAATAATCCATTCACCCGCTCACATGTATCTTGAAATAAGCAACCTAGACAAATCTGATTACAAATTCTGTGTAGTGTCAAAATCACCAGCTAATTTTATTTTCAACGGCCATGCAATTAAATTTGATTTTTTTATTTAAAATATCATTTGTAGATTACATTCTATTATTAAGGTTAGAAATATTCAAACGAATAATTACTAGTAATATAATAATATTTAGCTCACACTTTTATTTTTATTTGGATTACGAGAGACAGGGCCGATAGGGGATCTAATAGAAATACAATACTGCCCCATACTCTAAAGACCACTATTGTGTTTTCATAATGACTTTCATTGCTTTACTCTCCCTGGCATAAAGGCACGTTTTTTAAATATTATTTCTACAACATGATCAAAACACAACGCAAACACAAAACAGCTCCAAGATTTCATCATCTCTTCCCGTTTGGGTCCAAGGCACGAGGTGCAGATCAAATAGAGTTCATCTGTTTCAATAACCAAGGCAAACAGGGGGACAGTGTGGTCTGCACTATGCCTAGCCGCCTTTGTTTCCCTAACGTGAGTTAGGTACCCATCGAGCTGGGCTCCAATAATTAATCATAGCAAAAACGAACAAACTGAACAAAATAAAAAAAGAAATGAACATCAAACTATGTCAAAGTTTGTGGCACGTTACATTGTCATCGGGCCTTTATATACTGGCCAAGTTTGAGAACAATCGATCAACCCATGATAAACAAAAAAAAAATAGAGCTGTAGTGATCTCCCCTAAATTTTCTTGAATATTCTCATATAACACCTAGTCCAGTCTATTGTCAGTCTGTCTAGATCGAAATGCTCGAGCGAAATTTCGGGCACTTCTAACTGACAGATTCGTTTCAAAGTTGTCACGAGTTTCAAGACAAGAAGACAACGCAATCTGACATTAAATTTGAATAATTGGATAGTAGGTCCCCTATTTAGGAAATATTAATATTCGTAAAAAATTAAATAGGCATCAATTTAAGTTAATGTAATGTCAGATTGCATTGTCTTCAAGCATTGAGCCACGTGCCAACTTAGAAATGAATAGGTCTCTTATAAATGTTTGAAATTTCGCTCACTCGTTTCGATCTATGACGACATGACGACATGAAGACATGAAGATAGTTAAATAAAATCTTGTAAAAAGCTAAGTCTTGAACATAGCGTTTTATTATTTTTTGAGAGTTGACGTCTATTATATACTGTTTTAAATTTTGTCTGTAGCCCAATGTTTTTTTTTTTATCATACATCAACAAACAGATTATGCAAGGTGTAAAAACTGCTAAATGTTGATTGTTATTCTTTCTTAGACCGTGAAACATTTTGTTACAAATCAATAATAGTTGGCTAAACAAATTTAATAAAATGGCTAATTTCGCAAAACATGGGAGATAATTAAAGGAAAAAAAAAACCTTCTTACTTAATTTACTATTCAAATATATCTTTACCTTCCTTGCTTGACTTTTGATTCTTTATTTATAGTTATGTTAGGGATCATGGTTAAATTAGATCAATGGCTAATACTATGTTTATATTTTCCTAATAAGTCGGTCCCGAGTTTTATGGAAACTGTAAGTGCTGCCAATTGGATCTATACATATTTGTCTTTAAAAATGACCACTGAATTTTTCGTTAGTTTGATATGGTTAAACTATATGTTTTCTGCTGTTATTAGAAATTAAGTTTTGTTGGATGTGTCAGAATAAAATAAAATAGATACAGTTGTTTTTATAATATATCTACGAAGCAGGATCTTTTTTTAGACATTTATATCGTGTATATTTCACCCTGCATTACGAAATAGCTACGTTTTTGTAATTAAAAGAATCTTATACAAACCGCATCCTTAAAAATATGAATTGAACATAGAACTGGTGTCAACTCTTGACTGATCACAAAACAGCTCATGCAGCAGCATTCAGGATTTAAACCACGTGATAATTGTTTATTTAACGTCCGTGCCTATAAATTTGTCGACTGCTCCACATTTAATTTTCCACAGAATGGAACCCGTTTCTTTTTTTTCCTTTTTTTTTTCAACTAATTATATTAATGATGAAACTTATAATAAATAATCTAGCCTCTGTTTCTATTGAGGCGAAAACAGCTGGGCTCACATGGGCACAGATAAAGGGAGCAGCCCAAAACCGAGTCCGATGGAGATGTGTGGTTGCAGCCCTTTGCTCCCCAGGGGCCACAAAGGAACGATGATGATGATGCTGTTTCTATTGTTCCATACATTCTAAGAAAAAAATCTTTTGTTGCACGTAGTCCTACTTGTTCAATATAAACTTTGTCTTCTATTTATAGTAAAAAAAAATAGAATTGATTCACATTGTGTAATATTTTTAAAGTATTAGTTTTTGTACTAAAATCTAAATTGGCGTATACAAAACTGAATATTGAATATTTTCAAACACAATTTCATTTTACAACTTTTCATTTTAATAGACAAGGACAAAGAAAAAAATCAAACTAAATGTATCACAATTGACAGAAATTAAAATTCTGTCTTTAAAGTTATACAAATGTCATACCTTTATACCAATTACTTCCCTTGAATATATTGTTTAGTAATTACTGTTTTTACTTTCTCGTATATACGAAGTATAGAGAAAGTCTAGTAATCTTGCAAAAAAAAAAAATCGAGATTTTTACAAATCTCGACGTTTTACATCTCACTGAAACGGAAAAATATAATTTTACAATCTTGTCCGTATGTGTGTGTGTGTGTGTGTGTGTGTCCGTGTGTAAACACGATAACTTGAGTACCGTTACAGCTAGGTTGATGAAATTTCATATATAAGTATTTTATCAAAATCGTACATCCGTATCAGCTTTTGAGCGATTTCCGATATTCGGAAGTGGTACTTTTTCTACTTTGAATTTTTCAAAAGCCTATAACTTGAGTTTTATTTCAGATAGATAAATGAAATTCGATATGTAAGTAAAAGATCTAATTCTCTACCTTCTGTCAAATTTTGAGTAATTTCCGTTGACCGGAAGTACTTATTTACGCTATTTCTGATTTCTCAAAAAACGCATGTAAATTTATAAAGTACTAATAAGATTGCGCACTATTATGCACATCTTTATTTAGAGTTCACTTGGTGTGCATTTCTTTTTTCTACGAGATTATATTCTATTTTTAAAAATTGGAGTAATTAAAATGGATTAAAAATTATGTCTAGAAGTCTATATCCCGAGTTGCCATCCCCCATAGTGTTATATTAGAATATTCGAGAAAGTTTAGGGGAGATCACTCCCGGTTTATTTAATCAATTATGCTTTAGAAGCCATACCTAAATGTCTTATTTGTTTGCGTTTTTGTTTGCGTGTAAGTACGGCTCGTGTTTTTATATAAATGAGATTGTATGCGTTTCTGGGAGCATTTTGTTAAATTTCTGTCTGCAGTGATTTCCAACTAAAGAGAAAAAAAACTGCAATGAAATTGATCGCTTTTGAAAAAGTCTGCTATAAATAAATGAAACTTTCATAAGGAAGGTTAAACGAAATTGTTAGCAGAATATATATCGTCAGCTCGGAAATCGTTAAGTAAGCTATCGGGAATACCCCGGTCAGCAAGCATAAAGCTGATGTTAAATGTGTCTAAAACGATGGGCAATAGTAGCTAGTGTTCACTTTACGGGAAATCCTTACTTTCAATTTCTACGTAAGTTGTATTACAGAAAAAGACGTAAGATAAACGTTTTCATCGTTTATTTTAATTTTTTTAGGAATGTAGTAAATTACATTCTGTAATTTTTTTCCCCGCACCTTTACAAAATATATTGGGCCTATGCCTATATTATATTAATATATATATATATATATATATATATATATATATATATATATATATATATATATATATATATAATATATTGGGCCTATGCCTATATTATAATATATATATATATATATATATATATATATATATATATATATATATATATATATACACATATATATATATATATATATATATATATATATATATATATATATATATATATATATATATATATATATATATATATATATATATATATATATATATATATATATATATATATATATTCATTTTTAAAGTTGCTGGTAAAAAAAAAGATAATGTAAAATAGTTTCAAAGATTATGTTACTATTGATAAGCGTATGCGTTCATTCCAAAAACTATAAAAAGCACATGTGCCAACAACTCTTGAACTGATAACAATGTTTAAAGTGTGCTAAATCTGGTTATCGTTGACACGACTCCATAAAACATCCCCGTCAAATTTTACTGAGTCATTACAAAATTCCTCTATGAAGACGGAAGTACTTCCTTTGTTTTAAATGGGTTTTAGTTTCCTCATGGCCTTGATCTAAATCTCAAGGCTAAACAGGCATGTTAGTATATCGTAGCTTGTATTAAGTTTGTCAATCCACTTACATTTTTTAAAAAATCCCCTTTATTTATACAATGTTCCAAAACCTTTCTTTAAAGTTAAGAAACAGAAAATTATTACAAGTGACAACATTAAAATAAACAGCATAAACAACACAATAGTGTATTGATTTAACTAATTTAAATTTTTAATAATCGCACTTCCGTCAACACTATAAAATAGATAAACATCATGATTGTAAATTCGAAATTATAAATCTCACTAATTTACAACGCATTAGCTAAAATTTTCAGCATACATGTAATAACTTAAACAAAACGCCATTTTGCTTTAAAAATACTCGATCTTCTCTTCCAAGCTTTTGTTAACCTGATAATCGGAGACCTCCAGACGTTCTCCATTGGGGGGCAGATGTCGGTAGATCCTAACATGGATATAGCAATCCACATCCACCTTCACCTGAAAAAAAAAACAAAAAAAAAACCATACAGACATATCTGTAAAATAAAACGATTTGATACATTTTTGTTCCTTTGTACTTTTTTGTATACGAAGTAAAGAGAAAGTATAATAATCGTGAAAAAATCGAAGTATTTGCAAATCTTGATGTGTTACACCCCCCTGAGTCGGAAAAATATAGTTTTACAATCTTGTCCGTATGTCTGTTTGTGTATGTGTGAGTGTGTGTGTCTGTGCTTGTGTGTGTGTTTTTGTCTGTGAACACAATAACTTGAGTACCGTAACAGCTCGGTTGATGAAATTTGAAATACAAGTATTATATCAAATGAGTAGTTCTGTATCAGCTTTTCAGCGATTTCCGGTAACCGTAAGGGGAACTTATTCTACTTTCTATTTTTCACAAGCCTATAGCTTAAGTACTGTTTCAGATAGCTTAATCAAATTTCGCAAGTAAGTAAAAGATCTCATTTTCTTTCTTCTTTCAAATAATGAGTCATTTCTGTTGACCGGAAGTAGTAATTTACGCTATTTCCAATTTCTCAAAAAAAAAAAACAAAAAAAAAAACGTATGTGAATTTATAAAGTACTTATAATATTCCGCACTATTATCAGATTGTTTGGCGTTCACTTGGGTAGCAATTTTTTTTTCTACCAGATTATATTCTATTTTAAAAAGTATAATTAATTAAAAATGAATTAAAATAATGTCTATATCCCGAGTCGCCATCCCCTGTTGTTTTATATAAGAACTAGCCGTCCCGGCCAGGCCCTGCTCTGGCTTCTGTGAAAAACCTTTCCGTTAAAGACCATTACCTGTGTGTTTAGTAATCATCATAAACCCGGCATTGCCCACCCAAACCACAACCAACCAAAACAACAAAACGCAAACATAACGCTAACACAATTAGAAATACAAACGAAAACAAAAACCTAACAACAAACCCAACCACAACCACAAACACCAATACAAACACAAAGAAAAAACAAACGAAAACAAAAACCTAACAACAAACCCAACCACAAACACCAATACCAAAAAAAAAAACAACGAAAAAGCAAACGAAAACAAACCAAATCCAAACGCAAAACCAACCAAAAACACAAATACAAACCCAAACAAAAAAAAACACAAACAAAAACGAAAAAAGAAAGAACAAAAACGAACCAAATCAAAACGCAACCACTAACGCAAACCCACCTAAACACAAAGAAAACACTAACGCGAACATAAACGCCCGGGGCAGAATCGCCTGTTTTAGCTTAATAAACGACTATAGTACCCCAACTTATTCATAGTTTTTGCACTCACTTAAACGAACGCGCCTGTTTCAATTTAATGAACAATTATAATACTCCAAGCTTATCCGTAAAATACCTAAAACATTTGCACTTGATCAATCCCCGCTAATTATGTAATTATTTTTTTCCCAACACCAAAACAAAGTAATTAAAAAGTAAATGCTTTTCAACTAATGCAATGATTTCATAAAGGGAAGTAATTGTGTTTTGCCTAATTTATCAAAGGGAAGTAAGCGCTATAGGACTAAATAAAAACATAATTAGAATTTTTGTAAAAGATGATATTTTTTTTAAAACTTGTGTTTAATGAACATGCCGACAATTATTACTATAATTTGAAAAATGAAAATGATTTCCCAACACTTTTAATAGTAATTTTTTAACTCATAAATTTAGACAAACGCGCACGATAATTGATCTAACACTTAAATCCGTAGAAATGCCAACGACAAACATATGCGTTACAGAATTGAGCTTTATATTCGCGGAAATTTAGGGGAGATCACTCCCGGTTTATTTTAGTTAGGTTCACAGAGTCGGCCCTACTCTAAGACCTTTCAAATGATAACAAACGCTGAGAAATAAGGTTCACAAGCATTCAGTAGCTGTCTGTTTATACAACCAGTTTGATGTTTATTGTGTAGGGATAAAGTACACGGATATTAATGCAACTGATGTTTACGACATTAGCCTGGTGGTTTTTGTCTCTTTACTAATTAGGTTAATTGGATATAGCCTTACTTCGATAGTCCTTATCTTTCAATTTTATATTATCATGAGTATACATTTCACCTACTGTATTTCACTAAACTTGACGCTACATTTCACAATTATAATTTGCTACATCGCATTTGTTATTTTGCGCTATACAGTACGTTACATATTACACTTGTCTGAGTTCTGGTAAGCTTGGCTGCTATTCTCTCACACTCCACCCCCCTCGCACAAACACACAGACACACACAGGCACACACATCGCATTACAGAACACTCAACAAACACACTTCAATACACTCACACGCACACAGAAATACACAAAACTTTATTAACACATGCTTCGTTTAACCTTTGAACCCAGATGTAACGAGTTAACCACTTTAAAAAATGTACTGAGTGTCTGTAGTTTGAAGCACCTCGTGACCTTTCTACTTAAAAAAATTCTATCCAGCACAATCTCCCCTTCCCTCCTGTGTGTGTGTGTGTGTGTTGGTAAGGGGGGGGGGGGGTCCAACAAGAATGGAAAAAACAACAACTGACGGTAAAGAAAATATTTCATAACTAAGTCCATTCACCGAATTGTTTGTAGTAATCGTTAGCTTGGTAGAATAGTTGAGCACGCGACCTTTTCAGTGTATGTCGTTAATTTTCTTAAGCTCGAATCTTTCAGATGATTCAATTCTTGGACAGTGAAGAGAATATGACATACTACAGACCTTACATGCGACTGCTAACACGAAAGTCTCGAGTTCGAATCTTCTAGTTCATGTCAGTAGAACGTCTCTGAGTTCACCCAGCTTTAATGGGTACCTAACTCACGTGAGGAAAAGTAAAGTTCGCTGGGTATAGTCCTGATCACGTTATCCCTTCATATGCGAAGGTCAGTGTCAGAAATAGATTAACTCTACTTCACCGACCCATCGACCGTCGGGTTCAAAAGAGTACTTAACTTACTCACCTAACAAGCGATTCACACACTATGTATATATATATATATATATATATATATATATATATATATATATATATATATATATAAATTAGGCCAGTATAAAGTCGACTTCAACTTTAATTTTGTAAATTGGTTTTGTAAGTTTTTTTTTCTAATATACGTGGCACTGTATCAAAGCACCCCCCCCCCCCCCGTTTCAGATGACGTAAGAAGGTCACTGACCTTAACAAAGAAGTTTGTACCTGCCACTACCTGTGACCTGTACCTGATCGCCTCAAACACCTTGAACGTTCTATTCATCTTTTCCTCCAGTTGGGGACGTATCTAATTAGTCATTAGAACATGACACTAATTAGGCGAAAATAACTATGGCATTATTTACTGAACATGTAGAAAAAATATACATAATTAGTAGTAAACTGCTTAATTAATTAATTTTGGCATTTCATATAGGACACATTATATTTAATTAACCCCACAGGTAATTTTACAAATCAATTTACGTAAAATATGTTTTTATGAAGTAAATCAAGAGAGAATAAATACTCCCCCAAGGTCTGACGTCCTTAATTAACATTGTAGGATATCTTTAATTTACTAATAAGGAGAATTAATCAAGTTTTATTTATCTTAAAATATGCCACTAATGAGAAGAACTAATCAAGTTTTAATTATCTTAAAATATTTCACTAATGAGAAGAACTAATCAAGTTTTAATTATCTTAAAATATGTCACTAATGAGAAGAACTAATCAACTGACCTTGTCCACTATCGTCTGAATCTCCTCATTGGCTGCCTGTTCGTCTGTCAAACCCCCAGCGATAAAAACTCCTTTCCCTTCCATGTCGGATGTCGCAAGTCTGTCTGAAAAGTCTGTCTGACAAGTTTGTCTGACACGACTGTCTGACGTCTTAAATTAGATCCTAGCCGGACATAGTCAGGTCACAAGCTGGTTACAAACAGGTCAAGTGACCAAAACCGGACATAGAGCGGTCACAATCTTGGGGAAAACAGGTCACATGAATGAAAGGGTTTTCCACTTTAAGGGGGGATTGGTACTTAAAGCAGAACACTTCAGCTAATAAGAACGGTTTTTTTAGTGACACAAATTAAAGTTTCCGTCAGTCACAACAATATATTTGTTTTTAGTTGCTTTAATTTTTTTTTGGGGGGGAGGGGGGGCTTAAAATGACTAGTCAAGGGGCTAATAGATAGAAATATAATTTATATTTTCTATAATAGGCAATACGCTAAGAGTGTATTAGTACTTTTTGTAGTGTATACAAACACACATACAAGACTGTTATCAGCCAAATTAAGATAAGAAAAGCTTAAAGGTTGAAAATGTAAAGGTTTAAAAATAAAATTGAAATTTTCCTGATACTTGCATTTAGATGAAGTGTCCATGTCACACTTATAAATACTGCCCTCCACTCTAGTTAGTAAGATAAATACACGTTATAGAGACTGATAACAACTGTTAAATATATTTTTGAAAGGTTCAAATGCGGATATCTTCGATTTGTGATGAAACTATTACTTTTGTAGTGACTTCCTACATAGAAAAAAGTTGGCTCTCTCTATCACCCCCTTTCTTTCCCTCGTTTTCCATATATTTCTCTCTCTCTCTCTATCTTTCTCTCTTTATATATATATATATATATATATATATATATATATATATATATATATATATATATATATATATATATATATATATATATATATACTCAGTCTATTTTTTGCTAATATATAAATATACGTTATAAATTTATAAATATCGACTGTCTTAGGAAATGGGCTTACACAATTTACTTTTGTTATTTCCTCTGATTTCAAACACGTAAGTAATTTAGTAAAACTGGAAATTCCCGTTTGTCGATATGTTCGGATTTCCCTGCTAAGAAAAAACAGAACACAAATACTAGGCCTAGTTTGAAAAGACACTAGGTTCTATCTCAACTTCGGATACTATCTCAATTTCCGATGAGAAAGAAAGGTAATTTATAAACAAAAATTAGTGATAAATAATGTTTGCTACTTTAAAACACAATTTAAATTAATACTTACATAAACAAAACTTTATTATTCCAGATGTAAATGTTTCTTTGTTAAAATATATTTGAATGTGTTGAAATATTTCAGTGTTATCAAGCTTCACTATGGATGTTGGAGACATACCAAGCCAAAGACCAACGGATCCTCTAGTTCAAAAAGTCAAGGAGGTTGACAGAAGCAAAAGGTTGGAGCTGCTTGCTGCTTATTTAACTCTTGTGGCTTCTGTGAACCTAAGTTTGGGTTACCCTGTAATGCTCATCATCTACTGTATCGTCTGCCTAAAGGACCTGAATAAAACGGTCGACGTCAAAAGCGTTATGAATTTAGCAGAAGACTTTGAGGAATCTTCTGGGCCAGACTGCTTGGATTCTCTCAAACATTCAGACGAGGAAAGAGAACTCAGGGACCGAACGTTGAGCCTATTACCTGCCCAGTACAGACCAGCAGTCACAGGGGTCAACAACAACCCGCCCGACCCCCGGGGTCAAACTGGTGACTCTAGCACCAACGTAGGGAGCGGTAGCTCTACGAACACGAACATAGCTAGTGGAAACTCTACGAACACGAAAATAGGTAGTGGCAACTCTACGAACACCAACAGTGCTAGTGGTAACTCTACGAACACCAACAGTGCTAGTGGTAACTCTACGAACTATAACATAGCTAGTGGCAACTCTACGAACACCAACAGTGCTAGTGGCAACTCTACGAACACCAACAGTGCTAGTGGTAACTCTACGAACTATAACATAGCAAGTGGCAACTCTACGAACACGAACATAGCTAGTGGCAACTCTACGAACACCAACAGTGCTAGTGGCAACTCTACGAACACCAACAGTGCTAGTGGTAACTCTACGAACTATAACATAGCAAGTGGCAACTCTACGAACACGAACATAGCTAGTGGCAACTCTACAAACACTAACATAGCATGTGGCAACTGTACGAACACTGATATAGCTAGTGGCAACTCTACAAATACTAACAGTCCTGAACAAACAGGACTTCTAATTCCTTTCACAAGACCAGATTCGGGTACGACCTCAAGAAATTCTTTATCACACGAAATCGCTAATGGTTTCATTAACTCTAACAGTTCCTTAAAACCTTCAAACGACACATACGCTCAAACCTGTTTAGCTGCTCTCGAGAGGCGGTTTATGGCGGTTAAAAACGAGAACAATCTCCTGGAGAAAAACATGCGCTGTGTCCATTGTGGTCAGAACCCCCGGGGGGTGACCTTCCTCCCGTGTGGTCACTTCATCACGTGCAAGAGCTGCTCGGGTCCCGTCCACGCCTGTAATCTGTGTAACAAGAACATTCTAGCAACCGTGGACACATACTTGAGTTGAACACGATCGTCAAATTTTAATGCATGCGAGGATGTGGACACGTAAAACCGCAACAGCTGTTTTAACCAGCTGCACCACACAGCTGCACCAGCTACAACATCCAGCTGCACCAGGTCTACACATCTTTAACACCCCCACAAATTGGTCAAGTATTTTGGTGTGTCACCTGGCAGTGTTTCTGTCACGATATGACGCAACACAACTGTACTTTTGGTTTAAACTTGCTACGGCTTCCTTTTATTAATAACATTAAGTACATATTGATGGAAAATGTAGGATTATCTTATTTTATTTATAAATTTATTTATGTTTACAGTTTGGTCTAATTTTACTTCACGTTTTGGATGTAAATTAGACATTTTTATGATAACATAAGGTGTACAGTTAAAGTATGTATTTATAGGCGTTAAGATTCCAGCTTAAGGTTTAAAAGTTTTTTTTAAAAGATTGTTTCTTTTATAAAATTTCACCTTACTTTCGTTTTAAAACCAATATCAAGCGTAACTATTAATATCAATAAAAATTAAAAATAAAACGTCTCCCAATGTTGATTAATTTTTTGTTATTCTCAGAGTGATTGATGCAAACAACATTTAATTTGTGAAAGACATATTCAATCAGATAAAATATAATAAACTAATTAATATTTTAATTGTACTATTTGTAAACTAAAAATCGCTTAATAATTAAAAAATGAAATCATATTTTTACAGGTGAATACAACAGTACAACATTAATGTTCATTTTTTTTCTCAAATAATAACAAAAAGAAAACTCAAATGCAGACTTCTTTAAACTAAGAAAATATTTTTTTAAAAATAGATTTTATTGTGAATTTTGTTTGTAGGTATAAAAATGTCTTGCTATAAATTACTTTCTCATATTCATGTAACCCTTTAAAAAATATCAGTTATGTTTTCCTAAGCGTTTCTTTACCTTTGAGATTTTTAATTAAATGTATAATTTCTTTGTATCTTGATGTTTTATTTAAATATTAAATGTATATTTAAAAAAAAAAGGTTTTTGAAAATTGTGTTGGAAATCGAACTTAGGTTTTACTTATAAATACTGCTTTAAATTATTTGTCAACATTACTAATCTATTTTAACAAAAAGGTGTTCTTCACACAATTTTATTTTTATTTTTTTCAAAAGACTGTTAAATTATTTCGCTACAAATCTAAAGGTATATTTGGCAAAAATCAATCAACGCCTAAAATTTGACTTAATTCATTAAATCCCTCGCTGTCAACGGATGGTAAGGTAGAGCGGCGGCAAATCCAATGTTTGCAAACCCAGAAGTATCGAGTTCGGTTCTATTGCCTGAGTTCATGTGTGTGATGGAGACCTGAGTCCACAAAGCACCGGTATGTACCCGGTTGTGATCAGGAAAAATATTGGCGGCTGGGCATAGAGTTGACCAATAGGTCTTTTCATACGACGAGGTCAAAGCAAAAACTGAGCTCTACTCGACCGGTCAGATCTGATATTATTCGCTTTGTTTACGTTAAAAATTTCCATATTTTCAAATCTAAATAAGTATTTTAAAATAAAGTCATTAAACAATTGAACATTTTGACAACATACAAAATCAAAACGAATTTTAAGCTTTAAAAATAGAATTATTTTTTTTTCGCATTTATAGAAAAAAATCCTAGTTGAAGATGTTTCTACTTTACCCAAAAATAATAAAACCTCGATGTTTGAGTTAATATTTGATTACACGTCACTAAGCAATTTCTAAAAAAAAGATTCTGTTAAAGTGTGTAAAATATTTTAAGAGAATAGGAAAACTAGGTAGATCTATATGGGTTTAACGAGGAAATGTTAAGTAAATACGTATTTTATTGTTTTAAACTATGGATATTTGCCTTTAGAATTGTAAATATAATGCGTAGCATAATTAATAAAATTACGTGTTTAAGTTACATAGACAAATAAATCAGAGTTTACTGTAACCAGCTGTTACTGGCTGGCCGCCAAGATTTAACGAAGTCGGAAGGAAAAAACGGATTTTCCACTTAATCTATTTTCATTAGATCTTTAATTTCATAAATACTTTTTAAAAATGTAATACACTTAATAATTACATCAAAATAGAATACATTTAATAAATACCTTAAACATTGAAAATGTTAAAATTATAATTTTTTCGTTAATTAAATACAAAAACTATAAAGATCACTCATTTTATACAATTATTGACAACAACACATTAAAACATCAGAATGACGTCAAAAAATTAATAGAAGTCTATTATTTCTTTTTTTTTAAATATAAAGGCATAATTTTGTTTTAAAATTGTTAGATACAGTTGTTTTTAATAAATTGTAAACAAAATATAATAACGAACATTTCCGCAAAAAACAGTTATTTATCAATGACTTTTTCTAATTATCAAAAGAGTTTGACCGCTAGCTAATTCATTTCCATAGAATGTGTTTTTTTTTAAAATTTTTTTATTAACTTTTAAAAAAAATTCTATGTGAGATGCAAAAAAACAGCAACAATAAATCAAAATTTGTACTGAAGTCGACAATTTTATAGTTGATAGACAAACACAAACCATCAGTTATCTAGCTTTATTAGCAAACACTGAGATGTTTTATTTTCCCTGATAATGTTACTTTAAGAGAAACATTTGACAAGTTTGTGACATAAAAAAACCCACTGATACACGAGAAACATTTTTTTTTAAAAACTCGTTCAATTGTCATTAAACACAGAGGCGTAGCGAGGGAGGGGGCGGGGGGCGGGGGGGGGGACATATGTCCCCGGGCGCCGACCTTAGGAGGGGGGGGGCGCCAAATTGAAAGTTTGAGGGGGGGTTGCAAATGAAAAGTTCGAGGGGGGGTGCAAATCTAAAATGTGCTCCCGAGGGGGGCGCCAAATTGAAAGTATGTCCCCGGGCGCCGGGAAGGGTCGCTACGCCTCTGATTGAACATGAAGCCTGGATCACACTAGCCACATTCTGTTTGTCTGTTCGGGCTCTCTACACTTCATATGTACTTACTGTACAAAAATACCACATGCACACAAATACCTCGGGTACACACATATCTCCTCTACACAAATACCACATGCACACAAAAACCTCGGGTTCACAAATACCTCCTTTACACAAATACCTCCTGTACACAAATACCTCCTTTACACACATACCTCCAGTACACAAATACCTCCAGTACACAAATACCTCCAGTACACAAATACCTGCTGTACACAAATACCTCCAGTACACAAATACCTCCAGTACACAAATACCTGCTGTACACAAATACTTCCAGTACACAAATACCTGCTGTACACAAATACTTCCAGTACACAAATACCTGCTGTACACAAATACTTCCAGTACACAAATACCTGCTGTACATAAAAACCTCCTCGTCCCTACTGTACCGGGTTGACATTCACCAGAAAGAAACCACCGTCAGGGCTAGTAACTCCCTCATTACATTGTTGAAACGGTAACCTTTGTTTCCCATGATACCACTACCATTAATCATTGTTCTCTTTGTTTTTAGATGGAGTCCCATGTCCAAAGCCTGGATAAACCCCAAGGCTCTTTGATTTGTAGGTAAAATCTGAAAAAATAATTCATGTTTTTTTTACATATGAACATTTGCATATCATACCTTAAACATACATTAATGTACCAATCATTAGAATAAAGTGTTCTCAACATGTTTTATTTTCATTATGCTAACTTACCTCTGATTGCTTTGTTTTTACCTAAATCGCTAACCTAAAATAGAAAAAGAAGTTAAAACAGATTATGTAGATAAGAAGTACATTTTGTGCAGTGAATGAAATCATGGTAGCAATGTTGTCATTTTTATAGAACAAAAATGTACAACTATTTATATAGGCTGTGGTGGAGGTTGAAAAACGTTGCTCATGATAATGATTTAGAAGGAATAATAAATCAAAGGTTGTGTATTTAACGTTTAAGTGTAACAAGATACTTAAATTATACATCAAAGCGAATTACTATTTTTTTAATCTGAAAACGTTTTTATAAATGTAATTTGTACATGTCTTCACCCACAAAACAAACCTTATCGTCCAGACTGCTAGATTTAAGTGTCTGTCTAAACTCGTTGTCTGAGATTCTCCGACTCAAGCTGTCTAACGACTCCCGGCTCTTGGCGAACCGCTCATCTACACTGCGCGTCAACCGCTCTACCGCTCCAGCCACATCTTGTCTGGTTTGTTGGTCTGACAAATCTCGTAAGGCATCTTCCAGCAACTGGACTCTGTTGGACAGTGACTTGACTTGTGTCTGGATGTCTGTGTTTATCTCGGTTAGCTCCCTTCTAAAATCTTCTATTTTGGATGTGTCGTCTTCATGTTTAGACTTCTGTGCGTTAATTTCTTGGCAACAATTTTCAACTTTTTTCTCACTTTCGATCAGCGATTGTTCCAGAACAGTAGCTTTTTTATCGATCTCCTTTTGGCTGCAGATTACGTCTTTAAACTTCTCCTCCATATCACTTTGTTGTTCCTCGATGTCGTTTTGATTTTTTTCTAATTTATTTAATTTTTCTTCCATTGTGTTTTGATATTCCTCCGCTTCTTGCTCTTTCTCTTCGCATTTGTTTAACTTTTCCTCAACTCTAGTTAGTTTGCTAGACATGCGCTTGTTTGTCTTTTTCAAGGAAGAAAGAGATTTTTCGAACTTTTCTAATGTTTGCTGAAAATTATCTTGTTGACCTAAAAAATACAGAAATACTGATTAAACAAGTATATCTCACCACGAATTTATTTAAAACTTTTATTTAGCAATACCCTAATGTAACATTTTTATCATCTAATTATATTGAAGCAGGCATGATCTCTCCTATAAATTAACCTACCTATGTTTTGTTAATGCAACGATAATCATTTTTCAATTATCAATATTTGCACTTTTATCCAGAGTATAAATATAAACAGATATTTTTTTATGCAAGCGATATAACATAACAAAATACAATGTTTAAAATGATATAGTGTATGTTATCATTTGTATTTAAAGTTTACTAATGAATACCTGCCAGTTTTCCTACGTCTTGCTTGAGAGTTTCCAGATTTTCTAGCCTTGCTAAAATTTCTGAAGATTTATCTCTAGAGAGGCGAGGTTCAGAGGAAAGATTGTCTGGGCTTTCAGTCAGCGATAGGACCTCTCTGTCTGCATCTCTATCTGCAAACATATTGTGCACACCGTAGTGAGTGAATACATCAAATCATATTCTGCATTAAACAACAAGTGACGTTATATTTAATATTTTATTTTTAAATATCAAAATATTGCACACGCATGTATTAGTATGCAATTTATTTATTTATTCGTGTATTAGTATTAAATATCATATATATAAATACATATATAAATATAAATATATATATATATATATATATATATATATATATATATATATATATATATATATATATATATATATATATATATATTATACACACACACACATATATATATATATATATATATATATATATATATATATATATATATATATATATATATATATATATATATGAGTAACTGTGTACGATATAACTCTTTATATATGTGTTTTAAAGATTCGTATTTTTTTAATTACGTAGAAATAATCTCTATATGAAAGGTCCAAATATATGTCAGCAAACAACGGTTACCATTACTTACTAATAATTTCCGAACATTTGGTTAAAACAGTTGTAGATGCGTTATCAAGTAGCTGGCAAATATCACAGAAATTTGAATCTTCTTTGTTTTTCTCTTCTAACCAAGATCTTCCTTCGTCTAGTGCCTGGTGAAACGTGGAAACAATTTTTGTATAGATAAACATTATTTTTCATATACACATTTTTTGTATAAACATTTTTAATAGATACACATTTCTTACAAAATATACATTTAAAATTTTTTACTATTATACTGACATTTTTTTTTACTGCTGCACCGTACTTTTCATAAATTCATCTCATTTACATATATTTGGGTTACATATTTCAAACTCTACAACCTCACATCACAAAAAATTAAAAGTAATTAATTGCTATTCATATTTTAAAACAAACAAACAATAACTTATGCGAAATAGTTAAATCAGAAAAAAGTAATTCCTGACATTTTTGATGAACTGAAGCAGCGGCACCAACAGAGATTCTTGCTCCTCTAGACAGAACATGAGAGAGGACACAGCAACAATTTGACTCTTTGGACGCATCTTGTTAGACGAGTTTTGATTAATTAAAGAAATAATCACTAAGCAAAATTAAAACAAACATGTACAATCGAGTTGTAAGTATTCGATTTTTAAATAAAATTGGATTTTTCAAAATAATTAAATTGTGATGCAATCCTGCCCTTAGATTCATAAATAATGGGTAATATCGGTTATTCCCATTGAACTTTAATGACAAAAAGTTTTTTGTTTTAAAAAAAGTATTTGATTTAGACTCAAGCTAAAACTTATAGTCACAAGAAAAAGAAATATAACCGGATTGGCAAACATTCGAGTTTGAAATTACAAAAAAAAAAAAAAAAAAAAATTTAGATTTTTTTTTTTTTGTAAACTGAAACTGAAAATGGCTAGACGCAGAAAACTTCTAGAAATATCAACAATGAATGAGGTGGAAAGACAGGTTAGGAAATGGAGTCGATTGGATTTTGAAATTACTACAACTATTTTTATTTAGATTTGTGTGGTATAATGTAAACTGAAACTGAAAATGGGTAGAGGCTAAAAAGTTCTAAAAATATCAACAATGAATTAAGTGGAAAGACAGGTTTGGGGATTCTTATTTCACCCTCGGTGATATTAAACCCAAGTGCTACTTATTTCATTAAAGAAATTAATATTTTAGTACTGGCCTACGAGCTTATAAAACCTGAATACATTTGTATTATTTGTATTAAAGCATGATTGTTTTTTTTAATACGGTCCAAGGGAAGCTAATTGATATAAAATATCAAGAGCTGATTTTGGAGTATAAGCCCTTTGTTATTTTTCAATTTTTCGTTTAAGTATTTAATCTCATAATTGTCCAAATTTACGGTATTGAAAAATTACACCTTTTATAGGGGACGTTATTAAGGACAAATAAAAAAGTAATATCTTCCTATCTATTTACATTTTTTTTTGGAATATTTTTTTTCTTGTCGATCTGATACTGAAACATTTACTAAATGCCGTTTGGCGAAACGCCATTTTACATAAAGGAAGTTTACTGCTCATTATCTATATTGGCACTTTCTTGGAGGTATTTTATCTCCAGATAGTCTGGTTGCTACTCTAGTTCATTGATAATAATAGCGTAAGGCCAGCAGATAATGGTATTCTCCATGCTTTGCTCGGTAAATGTCATTTATTTTTATTTTTATACGGGTTCTACGCTTTTCTATTGCATCTGTACGTCATGTCAACAATACTACTTGTGTAGGTCTTCAAGTTATCGTGTTCACACATAGTCAGACAGACAGACACACACAGACACACACAGACACAGAGAAATACAGACAAAATACTAAACTAAGTATTTCCGACTCAGGGGGTGGGGGCGGGGGGAGGGGGGGGGGCGGGGGGGGGGGGGAGAGGTATAAAACGTCAATTTTGTAAAAATTACGACTTGGAAATTTTTGCACAATTACAATACTTCATCTGTACTTCGTATAGGAGAAAGTGAAAATGGAGTCTCCGGATTTATTAACTTTAAAAGTTCAAGGTCTGGAGCTTGAGGGTCCATAAACATTGTTCATTTTGGTTGCACGGTTGTTGCACGGTTGTTGCACGGTTGTTGCACGGTTGTTGCACGGTTGTTGCACGGTTATTGCACGGTTGTTGCATGATTGTTGCATGGTTGTTGCACGGTTATTGCACGGTTGTTGCATGATTGTTGCATGGTTGTTGCATGGTTGTTGCATGATTGTTGCACGGTTGTTGCACGGTTGTTGCACGGTTGTTGCACGGTTGTTGCACGGTTGTTGCACGGTTGTTGCATGATTGTTGCACGGTTGTTGCACGGTTGTTGCATGATTGTTGCACGGTTGTTGCACGGTTGTTGCACGGTTGTTGCACGGTTGTTGCACGGTTGTTGCACGGTTGTTGCATGATTGTTGCACGGTTGTTGCACGGTTGTTGCATGATTGTTGCACGGTTGTTGCACGGTTGTTGCATGGTTGTTGCATGATTGTTGCACGGTTATTGCACGGTTGTTGCATGATTGTTGCATGGTTGTTGCATGGTTGTTGCATGATTGTTGCACGGTTGTTGCACGGTTGTTGCACGGTTGTTGCACGGTTGCTGCACGGTTGTTGCACGGTTGTTGCATGATTGTTGCATGGTTGTTGCATGGTTGTTGCATGATTGTTGCACGGTTGTTGCATGGTTGTTGCATGATTGTTGCACGGTTGTTGCACGGTTGTTGCACGATTGTTGCATGGTTGTTGCATGATTGTTGCACGGTTGTTGCACGGTTGTTGCACGGTTGTTGCACGGTTGCTGCACGGTTGTTGCACGGTTGTTGCATGATTGTTGCATGGTTGTTGCATGATTGTTGCACGGTTGTTGCATGGTTGTTGCATGATTGTTGCACGGTTGTTGCACGGTTGTTGCACGGTTGTTGCACGGTTGTTGCGCCACTGGTTTTCGATCACACAAGGGACATTCTTCATTAGCCACCGGTAATTAGTGAGCACAAATCTTGCTAACATGCTAACAAAGCTGATAATTATGAGACTAATACTCAAATCAACACAAATGTCTATAATTTTTTTAAACCTAAATTAAACTGCACGAAATGTTCACTTCATATCAATTTCTTGTTTTAGTAATGTAGTCTCATTTTTTAAACTATTTCGAGGCCTGGAAACTGAATATGTTTAGAAAAGAAAATGGATGATAATATCTCTAAGAAAACGAATACATATTACAGTGAAACATTTTTTGATACTCAGGTATCGATATATAAAACTGCTATTTATTTAATCAAAAGACCAAGTTAACAATGTCGTTTTCCTCTCTGAAATTTTATTTTATCACAATCAAAGGGAAACCAATATTCACGAACAATCCATTTTACTTCCTAGAGTACAATCCCTTAATGTTAAATATCTTCTGTGTGGATTAAATGTGAAGTGTGTGTATGTGGTTAAAAGGCTACTCAGCAAAATAAACAGATGTTATCTTGATTCAGTCAATTTAAATAAAACGTTTTAAAACTAAACGATACTTCGCCAGCGTAAGCCAGTTAACTGTATCGAATTACCAAGTATACACGTTAAAAAGTGCCACCCCCCACTCAAATACACACTCACGATAAATATTGGTAATTTATACTATAATACAAACCTCATTGGATGGATTGGGGTTTCAGGCACTAATTAAACACTGTGACGAGGAGAAACGGATGAACGGGGGGGGGGGGAGAAGAAGAGAGTGGGGGGGGGGGTGGAAGAGTTGGGGGTGGAGAGGGAAGTCAGAACGTGTAACGTCCTATTTTGACAATTTTAAGTTACTTTTAGGTATTTAATTTGTTCCTCACTTTTCATTATCATATAATGTCACACAAGTCAGATAGTTCTTTAGAAAGTTGACGTGTATGACTCCCCCCCCCCCCATCTCTCTCCAAAATACAATCTTCTTCCTATATTTACAGAGCTGGTGAGGAGTAAATTTTAATTATTGCTTTTAAAACACGTTTTAATCTTCAGCAAGTTAGAGAAATTAGTTTTGTGCCAACATATTTAAGTAGTGACGTCTTGCAGACGTATTGTTATTATAACGATATCTTTAGAAAACCATTAATGCCTATATTCATAGACTGCTTCATATGCCGAGTCCACAGAAACAAGTAAACTCTACTTCACCCTCCCCATAGACCTTCAGATTTGTAAGGGAACTTTGTTACTTAACATTAAACAACAGATTGACGTCATTGACCCACCACACGCCCCATGCTCCCCCCCCCCCCCCACGTAGTAAAAAAAAATACATAGCAAACAACGCGTACGTCTGCTACCACCTGCCACCATCCCGTAACCAATGAAAAAGCTGCATGATAAAAGATAACACCCCTATCTAGTTCAAACAAAGTAGTTTTATTATTACACCATTTTTTAAAAGAAGAAAATGTGTTGTATGCTTTCAAACTCTTGCCCACTGTATTTGTTTTACACACGATTAGATACATGACAGCAGAGTTTCTTCCAGGAATCTCTTCGGGGGGGCGCCTCCCCCCCCCCCCCGAACGAAACGAAATTTATCTAATTTATATAGAAAATATATACTTTTAACAGTGTCCGCCCCCCCGAAGAAAGTCTACCGCCCCCCCCCCCCGAAAATTTCAAGTGCCCCCCCCCCCCGGAGAAAAAAGTCTGGAAGAAACACTGTATGACAGATTCTCACTTATGCAGCCGTCAATGTGTATAAAGTGTCTGTCCCCAGCTAACGAGCCTCATCTGCCCGAGGGTTCAAACTGGAGACTTTTCGGTTTAGCAACCATAGCTTTACTCGACCACGCCAATCCCTCACTGACTACTGATCCTTACCAAATTTGTTTTGACCTACCCACTTTCTTCTTTCATAATGGATTTTAAATAAATTATGCCTATCTGGTGATGTTGTTTGTTGATTTGTGCAAGGTGTGTCCAATCCATCTAATTATTATATTATCACGGTAATAGGGCTGGTAAGTAGGTCACCAACCAGTTCTACGGCTCAATAAAACCTGCAAGAGCCATAGAACTGATTGGTGACCTACTTACCAGCCCTATTAATACTTTTTACCGTCTTTTGTATTTCTTGACTAACTAGCAACCATTTTCATAGGTCGAAATTTTTAAAAGTATAATTAATACAAGATATTAGTGTAAAACTGACCAAAGGCTCACAATCACAAGTGTTGTCTAGCACAGGATAGGTCAGTGACTTGCCGTGACAAGCGCCTGTTAGAACGTATACGGATCTAGATGACGCACGGGCTGGTACAGTAGACAAACGTCACAATAAGTGTCTGTCAACATTACAATAAGTGTAAAACTCATATTTTTCTTATGTGGTAGTGATATTCCATATTTTGTTCTTACCCCCACCCCACCACCTCGCTGCTACCTTAGTGTCTACATACATACTTTACTAAGATAAAACCGGAAAAACTAAAACTTACAAGACACGTAATGCAAAGAAATCTCTAACTATATGGATAAGGCGATAAAAAAAATTAACCTTGGCACGTAAAGTCTGATCTTTGTAAACTATAGACTTTATGTCTGAATGTTACAGTAACGTATAGTGACAAAAACCATTGTAAATTCTTTATACAATTCTGGTTAAAATGCACCTGATAATCAGCAATATAAACCTGTTTCTTGCTAAACTTGTATATCACATAAACTTTTGACACTATTGAAAACA